GTGGAGGGCGAGAAGGAGGTAAGCGCGATAAAAAGAAATGAGGGGCGGGTGAAAAGAAAAGATAATTTGGTGGGAAAAATCGCATTCGAGAGGGGCAAAAATGGTAAAAAGAAAACGACAGAAGAAAGAGTCGAGTGTGTACAACGAAAAAGGAGGGGCGAGAGGGAGATATGGAAGCAACTGGGCAGAAACACAAGGGGGCCGATAGGAAGGGAAAGGGAACAGGTCATCATGAGGCCGATGATGATGATGATGATATGACGGTTCCGAGATGATAGGATTAAAATGTCGCCACGACGCAAAACGAGAAAGAAACTCTCCATTATCACCGGTCGACTACGGTAGTTAATTAATACTACATCTTCTACAATTATTATAATTAGCAATGTCCCTAGTGGCATTGTACGCAGTTTTTGCAGGTAATGCAAAAAAAAGCAAATTAAGTTATTGTCATGGACGATGTTGGGGAGGAAAAAGTCCCCCGATACTGGAACTGTCTGCGGAAAGCAGAGCGTTCCAACTGGAAAAGAAGCTTGCAGATTACAGGTTTTGAGAAGCCCTGCAGGTTTTGTCGTTGTCTCATTATTTTACGTCCATATTCCAAATGATAACACGAAACAACAGGGTATACTTGGCAATAGTTGGTGAAAATAAACGGACAAATTGTAACCACCGCCCTATAATAGTAGGCATTACAAAACTGTTTATTTGTGTGAAAAATAATGTAGGCCTTTGCATTCAAATTTCGATTCTGCTCGGTCGATTCGTAAATGCAAATTTTTAGATATCTTACAAAGAAAATTTGGCGAAACGTTTTTAGGTAAGTTTCAAGTTTGGACATAAGATGTTGTGTGTGGGGTTCGATAGTACCTATAGATACAACGAAACAATAACTATTTAATTATGCTCTTAGCTAGATCGATCAATTTAACTGTGCTACTATCTGTGATCTACTAGTGATCAGCTAGTGAGAGCTACTAGTGATCCTTAAGGGTGAAATACTGCTACGGCTGTTAAGGACTGGTGTCCTATGAGATTTCTAAAATGAATCGAATAGGCCAAGAATCCAGAAGAAGCCATGGAGGTAGCAAACGGACTAGGGATCGAGAACCACAGGGAACTTAGGTGAAATGAAACGAGCTTCTTGTGGATAGGTGTAGAAGAAAGCTAATCGGTCGACCAAGAAGAGACCGAGCGTCGCGTTTCTTCTTGGATGCCAGCAGCAGCAATTGTAGCCACTGTTCTCTGAGTCCTGTTCGGATCGGGGGCATCGCAAGAGCTTGAGTTTGCGGGAAAATCGGGGGGTCGTAACCCAAGCAGTTGTCCCGTTTGACTCCGCCTGACATCTCGCAGGAACGAACGTATCCTGTCTGTCCGAATGAGTGGGTGAGCAGCAGCCCGACTCCCGCTTCAGCTAGGAGGCCTCCAAACCAAGAGAGCTTTCCCGACAATTATCGTTGTCTGCCTGCAGAAATCCCGGGGTGGGCTTGGGCATAAAGGAACTAAGCAAAACTGCAAGAGAGCTGCCGGCTCTTTTTTTATACGCGAGAGGGCAGAGAGGTTCAAAGAAAACTCCAAAGCATTCCATGACAGAAGGCTGAGAAGAGCAGCTTAGATATTTTTCTTAAGGAGGGCTCCGTCTGTTCTTACACACTATGGTAGGAACGTATATACATATATATATATATATATATATATATACATTGCTAAAGAGGCGTTACCCTTCAGCCAGCTAGATGAATGAAAGCGCTAATTGAAACGTTCACTTATAGTATAGTATCCGTCAACGTGGCACCAGAGAGCGAAAGAGGAACAGTTGGGGACAAGGGGCGGCGCGCTACTATAAAAGTGTCTGTTAGTGTAATTATTTAACTTTAGTATTCTTACGTTAACGAGAAGTAACATGGGCTAAATAGAGCAGTGAGTTGGGAAATGATTAATAACTATAGATATATATATAATTATGTTCTCGAGTTACAGATGCAAAGAACATTAGACGTTTTTTTTTTTTTTTAGGTTTGCTTATTTGGGTAATAAATATCATTTTGAAAAGTCGTTTTGGCTAGAATTATTTGGAGATACGACGAGATCAAATTTGCACCTATCTGGGATTACGTTTAAGGGATCGTATTGTGACAGTTACAATGAAAATACTCAAGCTGTAAGGCATTTTTAACTGTATTTGATTTGTCGACAAGATTTGTTTCTTAGCTAAGGAGATAAGATAAAGATGTCTTAGCCATATGTTTTCCTTCGCTTAACGTGTGCTAACATATCACAAAACTGCCCGTTTTGAGACCTACAGACGTACAGGGAAACCTTCAGCAACCAACCAAAGAGTTATGGACGTGAACATTGAGGTGGCTCTTATATGAACGAGCAAAGATCCCATTTATAGTACGGTTTAACAACTAATATTACAAAAATAACTTCACAAAATAATTACAAAAATGTTTTTTCGTCACGAATAGAAGTCTGCTTGCTTTTGTGTCTGGGTCGTCGTTGTTGGGGTCACTGTTTCATTGATTCGAATCAATAAGCAGAGCCATCTAGGGTATCGACAATCTCTGCTACGGCGTTCGCTCGTCGTTCGCGATCTGGATTGGCTTCCAGTATTCTACAAATGCGCAGCAGTTGCGCTCGGCGGTCCTTTTCTGTGTAAGCTAAATGTTTGTACCGAAAAACGCCCTTTAATCTTATTTCACGTCGGACGCATAGAGTACAGGTCTATTTGAAAAACATCAAGAGATATCCCAGTCCTATGACGACTGGGAGCAATAAACAATGCTATTTGTTTTGCAAGTATGCTAGAGCCTTTTAGGTATAGCGGATGGTATACACACACATACTATACATATATATATATATATACAGGAAACTTGAGATTGATAATCTTGTTCTATCCAGTCTGCTGTTACCTTCAATTCCCATTATATATTTGGTAGTTAAAAAAGTATATCAGGTTTTTAGGCCAGAATTGGAGCGCTTTATTTATCTATTAAAACAATTAACCTAAACATGCCAAGTTTTGATCAGCACCCGTTTGCCATTTTTCTGGTAACAGCGTAATCCCTTCACCATAAAACTTCTGTGATTTCTACATGAAAAATTTTGACAAGTAATTCTGGCATCTTTCAATTGAAATCAAGTTAATATCATTGCGCAAGTTCTATGGAAAAAGACCGAAAAGGTGATGGTTTGATCGCACTGTCATTGTAAAAGACGGCGTCCACTCTGTCCAGTTTCTCTGGTGGATTTTTTGTTGTCATTTTATTAGTTTTTGAGAGTAAAAATTTAAATTAATGGTTTTGTCAGGTGGTGGCGACAGCAGCAGCAGCAGCAGCAGCAGCGGCGGCGGCAGCAGCTCATGCAGATGCATAAGCAGATGCAGAGTCCATCGGACATATATGGTCACCTTCTCTGACATCGACTCGGGGTTCGCCACGCTTTTGGAAGACATTTTCCTTTGTTCTTTCATACTTAACTTTATGATCTCCATGTAACCCGCTTTTCATCAACCGCTTTAAAAATAACTTGTTTTCATTGCATTTTTATGGTGTGTCGTAAAGGATCACGTACATTTTTCTGTGTCAATTCGTCAAGTTTTTCTTTTGCTAGCCAGCGTTCTCTAAATGGTTTAAAACACTTTGATTAGAGACAGGCTACAAGAAGCATTTTTCTATTGAAAACGAGAGCGGCGGAACCATCTTTGGACCGTGTTTTTTGAAAACCTTAGACAGCGTTGGTGTCTTAATTATGATCAAATGCTAAAATGTAAACAATTTTTGCAGAAATATCGTTCATATTCTAGGCGTTCTATCTTGCGTCCGAACGAAGTTTTACGACAACTTCAGCATATTTATCTATCTCTCAGCTTTTAAATGGCACTAAAATATGTGACTCTGAAGCTGTCAAGCTGGCTTCGTTCGGCAAAAAGTTCGGCCATCCAATATATGCCTTTATCGATCACCTTTCAGATCGATAATTACGTACGTTACTGCGGTCTGGGGCGAGATATTCTCTCGAGATACGCTTCGAATCTCTGGCTTGACGCACAACGTAAAAATTGCTTAATGTACAGAACCAAACTCCGCGGATGTATGTATACTCATAGAAACGATTAGAGGTCTTTGCTAGCTCCAAATAGGTACAACAGCGAATTTCCCGAGTGTTCGGCGGGAATATATTCGAAACTCTTTATTACCCGTTGCATTGAAGTCCACAATGTATTCAGCTGAGAGTTGCGAATGAATATTTGTTAGGCATCTCTAACAGCTAACTTGGTGTTGACGCTGCTTTTATTGTTATTTGTTTTATACTATGATTTTCACTATATACTAGTTACGTTACATAAGACCATCGTTTGATCCTGGATTGATCTCAATCTTTTTAAACGGATGCGGCCTTAGCGTTCGTATATTTTGATTTGAACTGAATCAAAAAAAAAAAAAAAAAAACAACTATATAAGAAAAATAAAATCCATATAATTTTGCTGCGTAGAGAAACCTGGCGATCCTTTGTCGAGTTGTTGGTATCATAGTTTGAAATTAGGCCGACTATGGTGAAACGCACAGATGATTGATTCTTTCGGTTGGACGCAACGTAAACGTTAATACGTTACGACGCTGGGCGTTACACAACTATTTTTACAGCTCAGTCACGCCTCCATTGCTGGGCTTCGAGGGTACCTTTAAGTACATCTATAAACTACAGTGTTTGGTTTTATTTCACCAAACCTATGCATTTTCCATCCTTTCAACACCAGCTTTGTAACGTCCCCGTTTCGAAATAGTCAAAATCTAGCAGAACTTGTTTGGGACACACTTCAAGTACTGTAGCTTTTATATGCGCGAGGAACCCGCTAGATCTGACGCTTATTTGTGGTAAAACGTTTTTTATCGTCTCATTTTTGGGTATTCTGCAGCTCTTCAAACGCGAGAGTAAGTGAACGCTCACTCCTTCATACGACCTTTACTAACCTATCATTTAATTTTTTCAGGAAAATGTTCATAGGAGGATTAAGCTGGCAAACTGCACCAGGTACGTAATCGATCATTATATGCTATAATATGCGGTAATCTCAAGGCTACAGACGATGGTTCGAAGGTATTTAGTTGCCGGAAACAAGCAAACGGTTGACCACAGACAGAAAACGCAACAGACACCAGTAAATCGCCGTGCTATATTATACAGTATATAACTTTTTCTAGGTAGGTACATACATATATTATCTAACTAGTCAAACTATGCGATCGCAGCTCATCAATTATTGCATTCCCTGTAAAACATATAGTACATACAATACGTACCTTAATCATACGTAACATACAGAGCTGCAGCTATAGAATAGAAGCAACAGAATAGAAAGAACCAAGTCGGGTTGCTATTTTCGTTGGCTACGTTTATAAGATGCGAAAAATCGTCATGTGGCATCTTAACGTTTTCTGCATCATCCGACCTGACTATGGCATGACAATTAAATGCATATTATATTCTGTTTACACCCAAACATATTTCGCACCGCGGTGCTAAATCGAGTGTGACGTTAGCTGCTGCGGCCTTTTCCGCTGCTACCGATACGACACTTACCAGTAACGTCCGCTACACAATACGCTAACCAGCAGGCGCTGAGAGCAACCGGTGGTCGTCTGGCCATTTGCATCCAGCCGTGTGTGTATTTATATGCAGGGATTTCGAGAGATATTTACTCTCGAAGTTGCAACGCATACGGTTCTTCACTTCGGCAAAAAGACGGAGCTTCGAATGACTCAGGGGCTGCTAGTCGGCCGGCCTGCATAGTGCCTATACGATTGGTGTCGCTTATGGCTTTGTAGCGCCTCTTATTTTTGGGGATGATTCGGTTACGCGCAGCTCCCCGAATCCACACTCTGCCCCAACTCCGTTTTCAAAGCGCGACGTTGTGCATGTCGATCTTCGGCAGTAAAAGTCACTGTTGTCCTTGCCGTTGCCCCGTCATCGGCTTATCGATGGCGTCGACGCTGTTAACGCTACCGTCTGAACCGTCGCCGGGGTTACTGCGACTATTATGAGGCTCATGCGACCGGCCAATCGACCATAATCGCGATTATTTTTCTTCTTTCTCTATTTCGACTACTACGGTTATTGGTTGTCTCAGTGCTCATTCGCTCGATTACAACTGGTAGCTGCCCACGCTCCTTCTGAGGTTTCGTAACGACTACTAAACGCTGCCAGAGATTATCAGTCCAGTTGTAGCAATTGCGAAAGCGGAAAGGCTAGCTAAAGAAGACAACTCATGCCCTGCGCGAACTCTCGGTGGCATGAACAGACGGCACTGCTGCCAATGATGTCAATGAATCAGCAGTAATCCGGCAAGCGGCAGACGACGCGGAACTGATGGAGACCACAGGCAGAGATAGAGCAGGCGAGACCGGGGAAAAGAGAAGGAACAAAAACGATCATCCTCGTGGATCGCTGTTTGACCACTGCGGTTTGATACGACGTCCTTGTAACTGTTGTTGGTCTCTTTAGCCCTCTCGGCTGACGCTAAGGCAAAGCAAGCGTTGCTTTGTTCAGTTAACGGTAGCAAAGGCAAGGTTTCGCTAGAGGCCTGGCCGTAACTAATGTCGATGGCCCATCGGATCGCTGAATGATGATGCAACATTTCCGGCTATATATTTTTTGTGTGAGTCTGTGACCGATTAAAAGGCTACACGAGAAAAGGTGTACGTATAAGACGAATATAATATAACGTCGACAGTTGTTATAGTCGACGGATAAAGCCCAATGAGCGCGCGAAAATTAAACATGGATTTGGCTATGGCAGAACTTTTAAACCAATCAAGAGCGTAAATAATGGGAATAATCAATCTGAGTACTGCATATAAACTGAGTGTCATTTTGGATCCGCTCGTTACGGAGCGGAAATACGCATCTATAAATTTCCGCTCTAACTGTAACGTTATTGTACGATCACAATAAAGCTTTTCGGCACAGATTTTTTTTCTATAAACTGATGCGTTCATTTAACTGAAAACCTGCTGCTATTTGAAGTAACGGAGCCACTGGCAATAGCTGCTGCTTGATAAACTAGGCCTGAAGGCTGCCGTGGAAATACCACATTCGTCCACTGCCCCTGCCATTGGTGAGTACCGTACAGTGACTGACTGTTAGTGTTCATCTTCGCTACTTCGTCAAAAATCTCTTTGCGCCACCCATCAAGCCGGTCAGATCTTTTGGCTCCCTCGAAGGGACACTCAGGACCGTTAGGCCAGAAGGAATCGGCAAGAAAGCAAGCGGAGAGAGTCGACAAAGTATCCAACGAGGGCGGCTTATAGGACTCTACTATATCCAAATGATTTTTGAGTGCCTCACCTCAGCACAACTCCACTATCCACGCCCTCCTCCAGCTTGTCGCTCGATGCTTGGCTCGTTCGAGTCCCACAGCGACAGTTTTTCGGACAGAATTGTCGTAGGTCCTCAGATGGTTATCACTGACGGGTGGGTCTCGCTGGCATGACACCACCCTGCCCGACACTCAACGCTTGACATTCACGAACGCACGTGCTTTGCTGCTCCAGGACGAGACCGAGGGTTGTAAAGAAATCCTCTTCATCGTGCTCACACGTAGTAAGAAACCATTGTAGTAAAACGCTTCAACTCGTACAGCTCGTGAATTTTTCGTATAGCTTGGACGGTCTATTGGAGCTTGCGAGAGCACCGAGACTGGCGCTGCCTCGGGCGCCGACTACTCGCATATAGAACCCTTCGGCTTTTCGACTTTTGTCAGTCTACAATCCTCAGAGTTCAAGTAGTTTGAGATTTTCCAATTGGCGAAGTAGTCCAGCTACTCAAATGGGGGTTAGTTACGTGTCAGTTAGCAGACTTCAGCCCGGTTGGTGATCTAGACAATAATTTCCGATCTGTATAGTTGCCGGTTCGCCCTAACTGACCACTCTAAATTTCTACCGAAATGAGAAAAAAGGTCCGAAATTACCTCGAAGTACAGCTATAAGCAGAATGGAGACAGAAACGCGAGAGTAATAACGACTAGAGGGCGCGGAGGGCGAGAGCGCTTCTAGTACAGAAAATTGGCTTCGAGGCGTAGTTCATGTTGGTTGGAACGGATTGCTTACTTTTAGCAGAGTATATAGATGATAAGGGGACAGCAGAATGGTGGCTGCTTGCAGCAGGGTGGTTTGGTATTGTCTGTATTGTCGAGATGGCTTGTTTGGGCACGTCGTGTGTCTTTTATAAACGAATCCCTTCCGTCTTTCTGCTAATTTTCGGCGAAATTTTCACACATGCACACACGCATTTACCGTTGCAACAGCAGCATCAGCTGTAGCAGACAGCTACTACTTCTACAGCAGTTCTTATAGGGTTCTTGTGTTAAGGAGGTGGCTTCTTAACAGCTCCCTGCGTACCATGCTGCTAATCTGATTTGGGTTACGGTGAGACTGCCACTTTACGCGCGCACTCTCCGGGGCTTCATTTTCACGCTGGCGACGTGGGCCGCGGGTTCTGACATCCAGGACCCGCTAACGTTGTATTGGCGCTGCCGCAGCTGCTACTGTTGCAAGTCGCGGAGCTCAGCGCTTCAGGTGCGCGACGGCAACGAGGCAGCGGTTGTCGTAAGAGCACAGGGAACGAGTACCGGAAGTTGGCGAAGAAGCAGTAGCTGAAACTATGCAGTCGAATAGGACGATCGTGGATTTCCAACAACAACAATAAAAACCACAACAACGACGACAACCATAACAATACAGCTGACATTTGTCAATTAGATCAGACCATTCCATTGGCTTTTCTGCCCGATTCGCCGTTGGCGACAAGAAGAGCGTCGTACATTGAGGAAAACGTAGAACAAAAGCAAAGCGTAAACGCAAAACTCTCATGGAGCCTTGTCACGTTTCCAGAAGTGCTGCAGGTGCCTTCTGGAGCTGCTTGTATCAGTTAGAACTACAGCATTTGTCGGACAACCTGCCTACTTGTCGAGAGGCCTTATTTACCTAACAGAAGCCGACCGCGGCGGGCGCAGCGGTAAATTGACTTGACAACAGGACAGAATAAGGTCTCGCTCGTTTGAGTAAATCGAACTTGACCATTACTATGTCATACGTCTGTTGGCAGTTGCTTTGAAGCAGGCGGATGCAATTATTGATGCAGTTCCATTACGCGAAGGAGTACGCCAAATAATGATAGGCCAGATTTTACTGTGTATCGCTGGGTAAATGGTAAGTTGGCGTTGTTCTACCTCTAGCGGGCCATTGGTATTCTACCAAAATGAAAGGGAGATGTGCTTTAGAAGTCTACCGGTGTAGAACTCACACTATATTGTACGTGTAATACACCCATGTAACTGCATGGTTTTAACTGCAATAATAAGAAGTTTTCAACATTTGCAATGAGCCTGGGCTAACGTCTATGTTTCATTAAAGGAAGGCGCCAATGACTCTTTTACCCTTTGTCCCTATAGCTTAGCTTTCGTAATCGAAAAGCTGACACTCAATGATACCGAGCTGGATGATACAAATTCGCGCGTTTTTCCTTTCATGCTCCAGTGAATCCTTTGTGGCCTGTTTTCCAGCCTGCGAGCACACCCAATTTTCACCTATCGATACTACCCATTTCGCTAAGGAAACTGCCGCGTAAATTCTGTTTAGTCGTTAAAAGGAGCTAAGCCGCCTCATCGTCTACGGTAGAGCAGTTTTAGTTCTCCGTTTAGGCCAATTGCGGAAGATACGTTCTCCTTTTTCCTTCCCTTAATATTTCTTTCGCTTCCGTTCTCCTTAGCAGTTAAAAAAAAAACAACGAGGGCGTCCATCGCTGTCTATCTGTCAGACCCTCTGCTACGGCGACTTTGAATGACCTTCGAATTCACGTGTCGCCTTTCAACTACTATATTGAAAGACTGGATGCCTAGATTCTCTTATTGGCACTCGTCGCAATAGCAGTTGGCTGTCCGGCAGCAACGGCCTACAGCCTGGCCCTGTCACTCACCTTCTTGCCGCGATAAACAGCGCATGTTCCATCTCAACGTGGCTGATAGCTGCATCGTT